GGGGACAGGGACACAGCCGGGGACAGGGAGAGCACCCCGGGGACAGGGAGAGCACCCCGGGGACAGGGACACAGCCCTGGGGACAGGGAGAGCATCCATGGGGACAGGGACACAACCGGGGACAGGGACACAGCCCTGGGGACAGGGAGAGCATCCACGGGGACAGGGACACAGCCGGGGACAGGGACACAGCCCCGGGGACAGGGAGAGCATCCCCGGGGACAGGGACACAGCCCTGAGGACAGGGAGAGCACCCCGGGGACAGGGAGAGCACCCCGGGGACAGGGAGAGCACCCCGGGGACAGGGACACAGCCCTGGGGACAGGGACAGCACCCCGGGGACAGGGACACAGCCGGGGACAGGGACACAGCCGGGGACAGGGAGAGCATCCACGGGGACAGGGACACAGCTGGGGACAGGGACACAGCCCGGGGACAGGGACACAGCCGGGGACAGGGAGAGCATCCACGGGGACAGGGACACAGCTGGGGACAGGGACACAGCCCGGGGACAGGGACAGCACCCCAGGGACAGGGACACAGCCCCAGGGACAGCACAGAAGGGGAGCAGGACCCCAGGGACAGCCACCCAGCCTGGCCCTGTGTCCTCATGACCGCATCCCTGTCCCTGCATCCTCTGTCCTGTCCCTTTGTCCCCATTCCCGCTTCCTGTGTCCCCTGTGCTGTCCCCACGCCCCCATCTCTGCGTCCCCATCCTCGTGTCTGCCCCAGCCCCGTATCCCTCTCCTGTCCTCACATTCCCCATGCCTTATCCCTGACCTGCATCCCTGTGTCCCCGTCCCCGTGTCCCCATCCCCGTGTCCCCGTGTCCCCTCACCGTAGATGACGTCCTGCCGCTTCATGACGTCCATGCGGTGCTGCTGCAGGAAGCTGTTATCCACCGCCAGGCTCCAGGAATCCGCCTCGAACTCCTTCCCGTCCGCCTCCAGGTCGCTCAGCAGCTGGCTCAGGATGACGTCCGGGCCTGCAGGTGACATCCGTGGCACACGGGGTCCCCGTGTCCCCCCCCGCCCTCGCGTCCCCGCGGCGTCCCCACCTTCGTCGATCAGCGACTCCACCGAGAGCGTGCGGTTGCGCACGTTGAGGGAATCCGTGGACTGGGACAGGATCCGCCGGATGCCCAGGGGGGAGTCATCGTTGAACGTCCTGCGGGAGGGCGTGGGACACCATGGGGACGCTGGGGACACCCCCGGATCCGCCCGTCCCCCTCCTTTCCTGCCCTTACCCCGAGATGTTGGTGGTGGAGACGCTCTTGGAGAGGGACAAGGAGGGGCGGCCGCGGCGGGGCCCCAGCAGCGTCTGCCGGAAGCTCTCCGAGGGGTAGATGGCAGAGTTGGGGCGCTCCCGGATGGCATCTGGGGGGGGACACCGGGGG